AGATGTCGCTAGGGGCAGAGGCAAAGGCCGAAGAGGAGCACGTGCCGCAGCTAGGGCACCTACCAGAGAAGCAGTTGAGGAGGCATCAGTAGTTCCAATTGGGGGGCAGGTACCGGAGGTGCCTACTATTACCCTCGGACTTCAGGAGACCTTAGCACAGTTCCTGAGCATGTTTGGTACATTGGCTCAGCCAGGGTTGATTCCGGTTGCACTAGCTACTTCACAGACCGGGGGAGGAACCCATACTCCTGCCGCCCACACCCCAGAGTAGCGAGTTCATATTGGTCAGGTTCCTGGTGTCATGGAGACACAACCTATGGTTCCAATTCAGCCCGTGGTCAGGGCAGCAACATCTGAGGAAGAACAACTTAGACTTGCAAGGTTCAAGAAATATGACCCTCCTACATTTAGTGGTTTGGCTTCAGAGAGTGCACAAGGTTTTCTGGAGGAGTGCCATCGCATTCTCTGCACTATAGGTATTGTTGAGATGAGTGGGTTGCTTTTATTATATTCCAACTTAAGGGAGCGGCTTATCAGTGGTAGCGGGCGTATGAGTTGGGTAGTACGACCGAGTCATCTTCACTTACTTGGGTTCAGTTTTCAGAGATGTTCTTGAGAGATTTTGTACCTCAGTCCCTTCGAGATGCATGGCGCACAGAGTTTGAGCAGCTGTGCCAGGGAACTATGTCAGTGTCAGAGTATGCCGTGAGATTCAGTGATTTGGCCAGGCATGCACCTGATTTGGTCGCTACAGTTAGAGAGCGTGTCCGTAGATTTCTTTAAGGGACTCAGGCATAATATTCGGTGCAGCATGGCTCGGGAGTTAGAGTCAAATGATTTGTTTCAGCAAGTGGTAGGGATTGTTTGCTGCCTAGAGGGCATGTGGGATCAGGAGAGAGAGGACAGACGGGGCCATGAGAGAGAGTATATGCGAGATCAAGAGAGAAAGGACAGGGAGGCGAGGAGGCCTCGTATATTGGAGAGATTTACTGGTCCTTATTTTGGAGGCAGGGTACGACATGGTAGAGGTTTTGTGGGTCAGATAGTTCAGTTTGCACTTCAGGCTTTGCACAGTGTTTCAGGTGATCATGGTTCTCAGAGTACCCGTACGGCACAGTGCCCACAACCACATCAACAGAGAGGTTGCTTCGAGTGTGGAGATACCATCCACAGGGTGAGGGATTTTCCTAGACTCCGGACAGGTGTGTCATAGCGGAGTATTCAGGCGGATAGAGGACGCCCAATGTACAGTACATGACTTAGTATTCTATATATGTGTTTGCCCTGTTGGGAGATTCTATGAGTGATAGCCGTGTCTATCATTGTTTTAATTCATTATTGAAAATAATGAGACTAGAAGTGAATTCATGTTGTCTATTATGGCAGGTTTGATGTGATTCCTGAGTAATTTGGTTATGATTTGTGATTTGATACTCTACAGGGGTGAGAGTTCAGTAAGTGTTGTGATTTTATTGGCAGAATTGAGTTAGTGGAAGATTTCCATTGGTATGATGTGTATTCGACTTGTGATTCAGAGTTGAGGGTGAGACCCTCGTGACTCCATGTGATTTGATATATTTGAGCTGGACTGCGTGCCGCGGTGGAAGTTATATCAGGATGAGATTCTTGTTATTTGTTTTTATACTTTGATTTTTCCTATTTAAATTGATTCGTAGTATGGTACTGTTAGAGAGTTGTGCCTGTCATGCTTGTTTGATATTTCTCTTATGTGTTTCTCTTTACATATTCAGTCATTTTCATTCTGTGCTTCTTGAGTTTTAGCTTGCGGGGTGTATGTCCGGTGGTGTTAGTTGTGACTTGTTGATTCGGGTGTGTAATGAAAGGGTCTTCATGTTTCTTTCATCGTTGTTAGTGTTGTGGATGTTTGAATCGGGTTCCTATCAGATATGAGGTTAATTGTCGGTGCTGGTTTTGCTTGCGGGCAACTATTGTGATCAGAAATGTCATTTTGGGCCTATGTGTGGCATGTCATGTTGAGTGGTCGTACCTTGTGGGTGTAGGCATGAGTTGTTACAGCTGGTTGAGACTGATACCGGGTATGAATTTATAATCAGGTCTTTTGGAGATGAATGGAAGGTGAGGTAATATTTTTTCTTCGTGTTCGCATTCCTCATTGCGTGATCGCGGAAGCCAACCTTTTCCTTCATCGCGCTCGCATACTACTTCACGCGTTCGCGAAGAGCAGTCATTGGGCCAGAAGATTTTTCCTCTCCGTGTTCGCGGTCGTGTTGTCTCATTCGAGAAGCACAACTGGGCAGCTTTCATTTTTCTTCTTCGCGAACGCGAATACTCCTCCGCGTTTGCGATGCACAAACACCTGGGTAGAATAAATAGTACTCTATTCCGAGGGTTTTTCCATTTTCACTATTTTGGAGTTCTAGAGTGCGGTTTTGAGCGATTCCTTGTGGGTTTTTCAAGCAAAACGATTGGGTAAGTTTCTTCACCTAGAATTTATTATATTCCATGATTTTTATATTTATTTTTATCATTTAATTTGTGTTTTGAATGGGGGGAAATTGTGATTTTTGAAGAAACTTTTTCAAAATAAAAAATCATGATTTGAGGGACGAATTGGTATCGTAAATTGATAATTTTAGTATGGTTGAACTCCTATCGGAATGAGTGTTCGGGTTTTGTAAAAAAATTCGGGTTCCGATGTGCGGGCCCGGGGTCGACTTTTGGACCGATTTTTAGATTTTAATAAAGATTGAAGCTTTATGATCCGGAATAGTCTCTTATTAGTTTTATTTGTGCTTTGAAGTTATTTTGATTAGATTTGAGCCGTCTAGAGGTCATTTCACCCGATAAGTTCATTTTAGAGTATCGATTTATCTTCTTTAAGGTAAGTATCTTGCCTAACCTTGTGGGGGGAACTACCCCTTAGGATTTGAGTCTTCTATGCTAATTGTAGTCCGTGTACGCGAGGTGACGAGTACGTGCTCGGACTTATTTGTGGAAATTTGGACTTTTAGGGTTCTTGTATTTACTGAATATGCAGTTGCTTTGTTATGAATACGTTTCTTAACTACTGGTTTTACCTCTACCTGCTTTAATTAGTGTTAATTGCTTCATGATCCACTCTTGTTGTTTATTTGATTCATCTGTGTCTTAACTGAAATTGTTATCTCTTTTATTGTCATGTAATCTTTCCCCTAACTGCTTGTCTTTATTTGAAGTTATAATTTATCTCTTCTGTAATTTTTCATTCTTAATTGAGACTATGATTATCTTTCCGCTGCTTATCCTTAATTGAATTTGTTGTGTCTCTTTCGTAATTGCCCAACCTTAAAAGAAGTTTAGATATCCTATATCTTAGTTGACTTGTCCTTATTTGGAATCATTCGACTTGTGTTAGCTCCCTTGTTGTTAAACAGTACATTGCGGGCCGTTGTTACATATTATTTCTTTCCTTGTTGAGTTATTCTTATTATGACTTGCATTCTCTATTGTGACTACTCCTTGTGAATTAGTTCCTCCGTTTCTTTGAGTTCTGAAATTTCTAAGTTGACTTATTTGTCGTACCCTTGAGCTATTGTCATTGTTGTTGTACTACTTGTTATTGTAATGCACGAGGTATCTGTCGTGCGGTTGTGGTTATTGTGATGCACGAGGTTTCTGTCGTGCGGTTGTTGTTATGGGGTTGCANGGGTTGTGCATGTGGCGAGAGAATGTGGGAATATTGTTATGCACGTATGGCGAGACAAGGCGGGCACTTATTTTATTATTGCATACGTGGCGAGACAAGGTGGGTTGTGTCAGGGATTGATTTGTGATGATTCGTGATGGCCTAGGGGCATTCTTGTTGTTGATATTGTCTAGTGGTACACTTACCTGTGTGAGTTTTATCTTGTGACAGCTCTGAGAAAATATTCTACGTGATGTCCGTTCTTTTTCCTTATGCTTATTTGATGGTATGGACTATGTTAGGACACTTGCACAAGCATACACGTAGTTAAGCACTCTTATTGGATAAGAGGTATTCTTGATATTGTTTAGCATAGATGCTCACCCTTGTTTACTTGTCTTCTATGTGAGAATGGCTCTATTGGCACGTGAGTCATCAGTATGGTTATGAGGTGTTATGAGGGCACAGGATGCCAAGTGTTAGGGTTCAGGTATTGAGACCCGTGAGTTGTGATTTGTCCGAGGTTCGGTACCTCGTGGAGTTTGTTGACTAAAATCTGATGTAAAAGAGGTTGTAGCTGCTGAGTTATTACTTGTCCCTGTTGTATTTGTGATTCCGGATTTAGGTTGTATTCCATTCATTTTTTTTGTGTCATTTTTATGGTATTCCGCTGACACTTGTTGTTTCCTTTCTTATTGCCATCTCTGTATTGTGAGCCATATTGCATAGTCTTTATGTAGATGTCATATTTCTGTTGTTCATATACTTATACTTGTTTAGTTTATTAGACCAGTGGGTATCTTGACTTTTCCTCATCACTTCTCCACCGAGGTTAGTCTTGATACCTACTGGGCACCGTTGTGGTGTGCTCATTCTACACTTCCGAATATTTTTGTGCAGATTCAGGTATTTGTTTGTTAGTAGCTGTGCGGGTCGTTGTTGTGGAGACTCAAGATAAACCTGTTGTTGCATTCACAGGCTTCGGGTCACCTTCAAGTTTTCATTTTGCATTGTTTATTCTTATTTCTGGACAGTTGTATTAAGAAGTTTTCTAGCAGACACTCTGTAGAGCTTATGACTTGTACTACCAGTTTTGAGAATTGTAAATTTTATAGAGATTTCTATTTTCAAAAGTTGTTAGATGTTATTTCTTATTATTGTTATTCAGTAAATGTTAGGCTTACCTAGTCCCTGCGACTAGGTGCCATCACGATACCCAACGGAGGAGAAATTGGGTTGTGACACGCATGCAAACATTTCTGGATCTTTGTGTAGCACAACTGGAGCTGTCACTGGTTTCTCCAAAAGAGAATTCCCTTTCACTTATCATGGATGTCCAATCTTCTACAAGAGAAGAAGAAAGGAATATTACAATAATATTATTAAAAAGGTCAAGAATCAACTGTATTCATGGAAGTGTGAGCTGCTATCATATGGAGGAAAAGCTACTTTGATTTCATCAGTTTTACAAAGTATGCCAACACACATGCTATCAGTGCTTGATCTACCAATATCTTAGAACATCTGCATAAAACCTTTGCTCGATTTTTCTGGAGCAACAATGATAAAAGAAGAAGTGGGCATTAGAGTAAGTGGCAGAATATGTGCTTGACAAAGGAAGAAGGCGGACTGGGTTTTAGATCCCTTTTTGATGTCTCAAAATCATTATTTGCCAAATTTTGGTGGAATTTTATGACTACTAAAACACTCTAAACTAATTACATGTGGAATAAGTACTGTAAAAAGGATCTCCCAACTACTGTCCAATTAGTGAGGGTTCACATGTTTGGAAGAAAATGTTAGAGTCCTGAGAAGAAGTAGAACATGAAATATTACGAGAGATGAATAGAGGCATTACCAACATATGGCATAAAAATTGGACTGGTCTAGGCTCATTGTATCATGTTGTTCCACAAGACTTTGACTGCAATGAAAACCTGAAAGAAGTTGATGAATTGAGAGAAGAAAATGCTTGGAATCAACACCTATTGGAACAAACTTTTCCACCTGACATTTCAGAACACATCGGGCAAGAACTACACTTTGAAACAACTGATGACCATTGGGACACACCTAAATGGATGCCTACTGCATCAGGAAGATTTTCAGTAACTACTGCTTGGCAATTAGTTCGCCACAGGGCAAACTTCAATCAGGATTACAAGCAATTATGGACAAAAGGGATGCCCTTCAAAATATCATTCTTTCTTTGGCGACTATGGAAAGAAAAAATTCCAACAGATGATATGTGAAGAAGGATGGCTACATAGTGGTGTCAAAATATTGGTGATGTATTCAACCTCGGTCTAAAACTCTTCAACATATATTCTTAACAAGCTCAACAGCAAATAGAGTTTGGAGAGTTTTTGGACAAGCATCAGGTATAGTAGATAACCTAGTACAGGTTCATCAAGATATAAAGACATGGTGGAATGTGAAATGCTGTCCAAAATTAAAGCCCTTACTCCAGGCAGCCCCAGCAGTGATTACTTGGGAACTATGGAAGATAAAAAATACAATGAAGCATGGTGGAACAACAACCTACAGCAGGGTCATTCATGAGGTGAATCAGACATTGCATTATCTAACAAGGATCAAATATCCTTGGTTAACAAACATACCCCTTCGATGGCCAGACATGATTGCATTATTCGAGGGGTATAAACCCTATGTGGTGACCAAGAGAGTTACATGGAACTCACCATACAAGGGCTGGTTCAAATGCAATATGGATGGAGCCTCAAGAGCCAATCCAGGACAGAGCTCCTATGGCTTTTGTGTGAGAGATTGGAGAGGTGATTTGGTTGTTGCTAAAGCAAAAATGATTGACGACACCACCAATATGGTTGCAAAAGCAATGGAAATTAAAGAAGGGTTGACTTATGGTATTACTAATCAGATTCATCCTCTAATAATTGAGCCTGACTCACTTGCAATGAAAAATATAATAGAAGGTGAATGGAAAACCCCCTGGTGCATAACAAAGGAGGTAAAGAGGATAAAGGGAATGAAGGGCAATTTCAATGTCATCTTCCAACATGTTCTAAGGGAGGGCAACATACTGGTAGACTTTTTAACTAACCTTGCTTTTTCTTCTGCAGGTACAACTATATTTAACTCATTTTTGGAGTTATCAAGTGCAGGTAGGAGGTTACTCAACCTAGACAAGGCCCATATCCCAAACCTTAGGATAAGGGTAGCAAAGAGGAAATCACCAGACTAGTTATTCAAAGATGTAGCATGTTGTTTACCTGTACCATGCTGTTTGAGTTTGACAAGATTCTTTTACTAACAATGAATGTGACTTCTGTCAGCTGTCCACAACTTCTGCTGACCATATGCACTAAAGACAACAATTGTTATTCAACCAAACAACATCTGGGTTGGGCGAAAAGATCACAACTTACAATTATTGGCAAGTACTTATCAAATGCAGCTTCCTGCTTCGGCAACTTATCGGTCTCAACTGGTCCTTTAGGCTGTGGAATATTCATTCACTATCTAGTATTTTTGCACTCATTTTACATAGTTCCTAGACATGATAAGATCTCATACTATCAGTTTTCTTCAACAAACAATTACTGCAGCAGTAGACATGATATTAATTTCACCAAGAATGGATACAACAGTACTCATTCTTCAACGCACATTTACATTCCATCCCAAGCTAGTTATCTGAGAATTTTCGATGCAAATATGAACCTATTTACACTTGATGTTTTGGACAGCTTGGAAAAAATCCCAGACTGTATGGAGATGTGTCATTTTCCAGTGGTGTTAGCATTTTACAATGTTCATTCTGGATATGATAGTTCACTATATGGAAGGAGTTGCAGTGGTTGTTCTGAACTATGGGCGTTCAACTTTTACATAGCTACTTGGTTGATGGAAAGTACAGAATCCAAAACTGGTTTCACGCAAGGAAAGATCAAAGTTAGATGCTCAACACAGCTGTTGTTATTCCTGTTCTTCACCACTATAATAACTATGTCCGAACTATTATTTTGTATTTGTTGCGGATTAACACACACCTACTTAGTGCTTTGTAGGTGTTACGTGGAGTTGTTTGCATTGACTCTGCCACTGCAAGTATGCTCTTACGAAACTTCAAAAGATCAACATTCAACAAAAATATCATGATGCACTGTTCCCACACAACACCTTACTATTACTGGTTTAATTTGGAAGAAGCTTCTATTGAGGAGACTTACTATACTTGATTCTTTAGGACTGTATCCTTTATGTTTGGAGATGTTTCGACATTTAGTGGTATTAGCATTACATAATGCTCAATCTGTGGTTGCCGCATCACCAGATGGGAAGATATAATTCAATTTTCCCAACTTTTGGTTTCCCCTACTACTGTGTTGCTGCCAACACAGTCATTTCCCAGTGATTCAATTGTCCTGTCCTTGGCTGGTTTATTGTTCAAAATTTACCGCTTCAAACTTGATCTCAACCAAAGAAAAATCAAATGCATGTTTTCTGTATCAGCAATGTTGTTGGAGTTCTTCAGCCCCAAAATGAAGATGTCCAATCTGCTTTGCTTTACAACTAGTGGATTAAAACATACCTACTTCATTGGATTACAACAAATGGCACCCGGTGAGAGCTTTGTAGGTGCTACAAGGAATTGTTTGCAACTTGTGTGCGAATTCATTATCATCGACAATAGTTGGATGTTTCAAAATAGTAGCTTAGTACTTTTCATTTATCTTTATGCTACTGCTACATTGTATTTGGTAGGAATAACCATTGGCTTTCTTTGTTTGATTTATTTCTCTTTTACTTGAACATTGTGTAACTTTTTCCCAGTTTAGGAATTATTATATATAACAGCTACTAGGTGAATAACTTAGTAGTATATTTGCTTTTAAAATAAACTACCCTTCCAACCCCTATTTTTTAAAATTTTCTTTTAGTATTAGGCTTGGGCCAGAGGCCAACAGGCCCAAAATCAAGGTCTAGCCCACCAATCCTTTCTCAACTCACCCCCTAATCTAGTGAGTCTGCCAAGACCAGGTCCAATTCCAAACAAATCCCAAGCGGCCAAACAAACTAGATGTCGAAATTCAAAATTGAAAACTAAGTAAACCACTTTGAAATTGAAACAAATTCTAGAACTACAATCTATACTAGCATATGCAAATAATTGAGCAATTAAAGTTACCTTAAAACTTGCAATTACTAATTGAAATTACAGCATGTATTTAATTATCAAGCCACCTAAACACTAATTGATTCCAAATTATTGATTAAACATGCTCGGACAGAATTCATCGAGACACATCAATTAGAAAGAATTATACAGAAGGGGAGGAGTGTATACCAAATCTGCTATACACCCGATCAGCGTCAAAGAAATGCGGTGATTGTAATGAATTCTGGTGACGATCAATAGAACTCCGGTGAGCAAAGAGGATTGTCACATGAGCATTGGCCGACAAATGTTTATGCGATCCAGTGCTACATGTAACAATGCTCATTACAAGCCGAATTGAAGAAGAAAAGATGAAGTTTGGGGAAGTTCGGCCTGTCTACGACGGTCAACGATGTTTCGGCCACCGAAAAATGGTAAAAAAATGACCTCAAACGAAAGGTCTTTCCGAGACGTATCATTTGATGTAAAATTTAGGTAAAGAGGAGGTCGGGTTGATAGTAATTTAGCAAAGGGGCAAAAAAGTTGGGACTTTTATTCCTAGGTCTTCTAATCGGCAGGATTGGGAGGTTTTTTGGGGGGAAATGATGTTGGATTAAGGGTGAGGAGGTGGTGAGGAGTATTTGATAATTTTTTGGGTGGATTAGTGTTGATCCGCCGCCGGATGGCGATTTTCGGGTAGTGGAAGACGGCGAAGTAAGGTGGCTAATTTGAGAGAATGAGAGAATTGGGGGCATCTAGGGTTTGGCATAGTGGGGGGGCTGTTTAGATTATGATACAACACAAGGGGTGTTTGGTTGTTTAAGTGAATGGGGAAGAGTAAACGACGTAGTTCCTGTATGAAACTACGTCGTTTGAGAGGCCTAGCGGGGGAAGCTTGTTGGACCGGGTTGCAGGGTTGGACTGGGCGGATTTCGGGTGGATTTAGGCCTCTGGAGTTGGACGAATTTGGGGCATGAAGCAAACAGGCCTTCTTCTTTTTATTTGATTTTCAAAATTAGCCAAATAAAATCTAATAGAGACTATTTTACAGATTTGACCTACAAAACTTATTAAAATTGTGAATTAATAAACTAATTAATTAATTAACCTAAAAATGCAGAAAATAGGAGTAATTAAAAATATTTTATGATTTTCATATTTTAGAGATGCAATTAATCATGCAAACGAAATGTTAATAATGCAAGTAAAATCTAAAAATGCAAAGAGAAAAAGATAAGATAATTTTTGTCATATTCATGATTTGAAATGCCACTAAATATACTAAAAATGCAAATAAATGCCAAACAAAATAAAACAAAATAGAGAAAAAGTCTTAAAATTCCATAAAGGCAATTAAAACTATTTTAGAGTATTTTAGATCAATCAAACAGTAATGAAATCAGGGAGTGGTGTATCTTGCATTTCAGATCAATCAAATAATAATGATATCAGGGAGTGGTGTATCTTGCATTTCAGATCAATCAAATAATAATGATATCAGGGAGTGATATACCCTGCATTTAAGATCAATTGGTAATGATATCAGGGAGTGGTGTACCCTGCATTTAAGCTCAATCCACTAGGGAGTGGTGTACCCTGCATTTAAGCTCAATCCACTAGGGAGTGGTGTACCCTATGTTGGAAAACTCAGCTAGAAATTAGTGTACCCTATACCGGTGAGGAGACTAGGGAGTGGTATACCATATGTCTAAAATATCATCAACTAGGGAGTGGTGTACCCTATGTTGGGAGATACAGCTAGGGACTGGTGTACCCTATATTGGTAAGAAGACTAGGGAGTGTTGTACCCTATGTCTAAAATAATAATGAACTAGGGAGTGGTGTACCCTATATTGGAAAATACAGCTAGGGATTGATGTACCCTATACTGGTAAGGAGACTAGGGAGTGGTATACCCTATGTCTGAAAGAATGATATCAGGGACTGGTGTACCCTGCATTTAAACTCAGTCAATAAAGATACCAGGGAGTGGTGTACCCTACATCTAAGCTCAATCAACTAGGGAGTGGTTTACCCTATGTTGGAAAACACAGATAGGGATTGGTGTACCCTATACTAGTATGGAGACTAGGGAGTTGTGTACCCTATGTCTAAAATATCATCAACTAGGGAGTGGTGTACCCTACGTTGAAAAATGTATCTAGGGATTGGTGTAATCTATACTGATAAGGAGACTAGGGAGTGGTGTACCCTATGTCTAGAAATGTTGTCAAGGAGTGGTGTACCCTGCATTTAAGCTCTGTCAATAAAGATATCAGGGAGTGGCGTACCCCTGCATTTAAGATCAATCAACTACGAAGTGGTATACCCTAAGTTGGAATATATAGCTAGGGATTAGTGTACCCTATACTATCATGATTTTGAAAATTCCTTTTATATATATATATATTTAGAGAATGAGTAAAAGGGGGGAAGGAATTTTGAAAAGACTTCCCTTTTTTGAGATTTTTTGCTGTAGTAGAGCTATTTTTAGTCTTCGCGTGATTTCCTCTTATTGGCACCTGCTTTTTGCGAGGTTGTTTTTCCTACATTGTGTGTTTCCTGTTTTTCAACAAAGAACAATTGTCAGTTTAAAACGGTGGTTAGTTTTGTGGCCTTGAGTGTTTCAGTCTCTTGATAGCGGCCCATTTTCTTGATGATTTCAACTGCAATTGGTTATTTTCTCAATACCAACTGTATTTTTGACCCCAAAGAACCTTTGACTTTTCAAACTTTTGCAATGACAGCTAGTCATGTAACGGGACTTAGCCTCTCCAACTTTTTGTTTTTGGGGCATTTAACTTTTGACTTCTTTGTTCAAAGTTCCAATTTCAGAGTATTAGGGAACCTTTGACTTTTCAAACTTTGTAAGACAGTTAGTCGTGCGGGACTTAACCCTTTCAACTTCATTTTTCCCTTGTAGGCATTTTCATTTGATTTCCTTCTTCTAAAGTTTTCAATTTCAAAGCATCTGTCAATCATGCCCAGTCGAGGTCGACTTGATGCCCTTGCCAAGGCTGGGTGTCTTTTGAATATATTAGCTTGTTTCGAATGAGAGCCCTATAAATCAGTCTTGCCATCTCTTCTTTGCCTTAGTTTTTTGGAACAAAGTTAGACCGAAAGAGATTCAAAGAAAAACTAGCAAAAGAATAGAGAATAAGTTTAGAACAAGAGGTGTCCCTTACGAGGAAAAAAAGATAGACTTATCTGGGAGTACATGAGGACTTCAATGAACATGACATAACTTTTAGACTGGATGCCAGATCTGTGTAAACCGTTTGAATCTCAGAAAATTATCACAACCTTTGCCTCAAAACCGAGAAACCTTGTCCAGGACTGTGTTGATGCCATGGCTGTGAGGATCCTCTTTTCGATCAGTAGTGCCCTTTACGGGTTTTCACCAGCTGACCTATATCATTTCTCTTCTCACCATCACCTTGTAGTACGCTTTGCGGATTTTCACTAACAAGACTCTCTCATTTTTAATTTCTCTACTCATAACCACCTTACGATTCCCGTGAGGGTTTCCACCAACAAGACTCTCTTATTTTATTTCTCTCATTTTGGTCGCATCAGATCCGAGTAACTGTATCCTCCAATTCTTAAACATTCTCGATGACCGACCAGAAGGACTTGAAAAGGATTTGGGTAAAAAAAATTTGGATTGAATTAAAATTTTGGAACCTTTCAGGCGAAAACATTGCCGAACTATGATAACAACTGCCCAATTTTCACTTTTGGATGAATGTGGATTTTTTCTTTTGGTGTGACTAAACCCCAGAGTGAGGTTGCCTACGTATCCTTTCGGAATCTGGTCGAACGTAGTTCAATTACATGAACTTTGTTTTTGATTTTCTTTCTTCTTCTTCTTTTTCTTCTTTTTTTGTCTTTTTCTTTTTCTTCATCATTGTTTTTCCTTTTTCTTTTTCTTTTCTTTTCTTTCTTTTCTTTTTCCCTTTTCTTTCTTTCGAGGTTCCAAAGAGGGTAATCAAAGAAAGGTAACCGTCTCAAAGAGTTTGCAAAGGGTTGATAATGTTTGGTTAGCGAGAATGAAAGCCTTTTTCATCCCAATCAGAGAACATTAAAGCTGCTTAAAGGGTCAAACATAGTACCTTTTGACCGCATTTGCATTAATAGTTGTTTCGGGAAAATTTCTTTCGATTTCTCCCATAATACAGTGCTCCCTTTGGCAGCACTCTTATTACAATACATGGACCTTTCCAATTTGGAGCAAATTTTCCTTTAGCTTCTTCATGACACGAGAGAATACGTATCAAAACGAGTTGCCCAACTTCAAATTTTCTGGGCCGCACTTTCTTGTTGTAGGCACGAGTCATTCTTTGTTGGTACAACTGCACGTGGTAAATTACGGCCAGTCATTTTTCATCAATCATAGTCAATTGTTCCTAGTAGGTTTTGACCCATTCATTATTCTCAATCTCGGCTTCAACAATGATCCGAAGAGAGGGAATCTCAACTTATGTAAGTATTACGGCTTCAGTGCCATAAACCAATAAGTAGGGGTGGCCCCAGCTGATGTGTGCACTGTTGTGCGATATCCCAATAGTGCAAAAGGTAAATTTTTGTGCCACTGCCTGGAACCCTGAACCATTTTCCTGAGGATCTTTTTATGTTCTTGTTTTCATCTTCAACAGTGCCATTAGCTTTGGGTCGATAAGGAGTGGAATTGGGATGCATAATTTTGAATTGCTCACATACCTCCCTCATTAAGTTACTGTTAAGATTTGCAGCATTGTCCGTAATGATAGTTTTAGGAATACCGAAACAACAAATGATGTTGGAATGCACGAAATCCACCACTGCTTTCTTTGTGACAACTTTGAAAGTGACAGCTTCGACCCACTTTGTGAAATAACCAATGGCAACCAAGATGAATATGTACCCATTTGAATCTTTTGGCTCGATTGGCCCAATAACATCCATGCCCCAAGCAACGAACGGCCAAGGTGCTGACATAGGATGCAACTCCAAAAGCGGTGAATGAATCAAGTCACTATGTATCTCACATTGGTGACATTTTCGGACAAAACTGAAATAATATTTTTCCATGATCATCCAATAATAACCTGCTCAGAGTATTTTCTTTACAAGGACATACTCGTTCATGTTAGGCCCATATACTCATGAATGCACTTTGTTCATGATCATATCAGTTTCTCGAGAATCTACACATCTTAACTAATTCAAACCTGGAGTTATTTTGTACAGGATCTCCCTACTCAAAAAGAAACTACTTGCAAACCTTCTAATAGTTCTCTTTTGATTCCTACTGGCTTGCTCGGGATATTCTTTTGTTTTTAAGAATCTTTTGATATCATGATACGGTGGCTCACCATCTAGCTCCATTTCAGTTGCATTACAATAATCGTGCCTTTCTCGAACCTGAATTTCAAACGGGTCAATATGAAAATTACCCGGGCATGGAAGTATTAAGGCCAAAGTAGCTAGTGCATCTGCTAGCTCATTGTGGAATCGGGGAATATACTTGAACTCGACGGACTTAAACCGTTTACTGAGATCTTCCACGTGTCACCTGTAAGGGATGAGTTTGATATCCCGAGTTTCCCACTCGCCTTGGGCTTGTCGAATAATTTAATCAGAATCCCCCATGATTAATAACTCTTATACATCCACATCAACTGCCATGTTCATGCCCATGATGCAGGCTTTATACTCGACAGTGTTGTTTGTACAAAAGAACCAAAGTCGGTCCGTGGCCAGATAGTGTTGACCTTTGGAAGATATTAGAATTGC